CCAACTTCACAATTTTGTATGTTTTTGGTCCATTTTCACTTCCTTTTGCTTTATTCTATTTCCTCTTGGGGGTTTTGACCTACAAAATCATAATTAAACAATCGTGAATAGAAACTCGCTCAATTTAATAAATAATTAGTTTGTTGAAGTATCTAATAAATTTACAAAAACACACTTATCATCTATATTAATTTATTTGAAATATTAGGAAGGTTGTGTATTTGTAATTCATGTAGATATTCATCGACCGAAAGAAATGTAAATGTTTAACCGAATTACATGCGCACATGTGGTAATAAATACGTGATAATAGTAATTTTTTATGTGAATAACAAATTAGTCCAAGGATAGGTTTATTGTTTGACATAGTTTACCGTCAATATTTGATTAGTGCACCAAGAGTACCACTTACAAGTTGGTATTTCTGTCCAAAAACTAAATATCAATGTTGTGTTTGATCTCTTGTGATGGAGTTTATCATTACTTGAATTAATTAATTATTTGATACGAATTCTAATGTGAACACATTTCTTTGGTTTTATTCTCTATTCAGTTAGCTCTTCTGCTTCTACAATATCTGCCAACATTAACTCATTCCTATGTCAAATGGAACCAACTTTAAGGATTGGAAAGAAAATGTTCAGATTGTTCTTGGCTGTATGTTCTTAGACCTTGCATTAAGGATTGAACAACCCACTGCATTTACAAATAAAAGTTTCGCTAATGAAAAGGGACTTTAATAAGTAAGATTGTTCAAACCTTAGCAGTTTTATGATCATGAAGTGTGGTATTCCAGAATCATCGAGGGATGCTATGTCCGATAAAGTAATTATGCCAAGGAATTTCTTGATGAAGTTGAAAAATGCTTTGCCAAAATCGATAAGGCCAAAACCAGTATGCTTTTGGTAAACTTGGTTTCACTAGAATATAAAAGTAAAAGAAACATTTTGGAGTACATCATGCAGATATCTCATATTGCTTCAAAACTAAATGCACTAAAGATTGAGCTTTCTGATGATTTGCTCATGCATTTGGTTTTGATTTCTCTTCCTACACAATTTAATCAATTTAAGATCAGTTAAAACTATCAAAAGGAGAAATGAACTCTTAGTAAGGTCATTTCATACTGTCTATAAGAAGAATAAATGTTAAAGCAAGACAAAACAGAAAGTACTCACTTGGCAAGTATTTCTAAGGACAAGTTCAAGAAAAAAAATAAGGAAGCTACACCCAATCTGTCTCAAAAGAAATAACAAAAGCCTAAAAATGATAAATCATCTGGCTGCTACTTTATGGAATTTTAGGACACTTGAAAAGAGATTGTATCAAATACCAAGTTTGGCATGCAAAGAAGGGTACATTTCTCGCTTTGTTTTGTTTTGAGGTTAATTTAATTTCGATATCTAAACATACTCGATAAATTGATTCTGGTGCCACTACTAATATCAATGCCTATGCAGGGTTACCTGAACAGTCGAAAGCCAAATGATACTGAAAGCTTCATCTATGTAGGGCGATGACAAATCAGTTGAAGTTGAGGCTATATGAACTTTTAGATTATTCTTAAATATTGCTTTTTATTTGGATTTGAAAGAGACTTTTATGGTATCATCTTTTAGACGGGATTCGATTTCTATTTCAATTTTAGATAAATTCAGTTATTCTTGTTCATTTGAAAATAGTAAATTTAGTATTTTTCTTGATTGAAATCTTGTGGGTACTAGTTATTTATCCGGATATGATAATCTGTACTTGCTTAATTCGATTTCGTGAATTCACAAAGCATTAAACATAAATTAACAAATGAGAATTTGCTTCATTGTGGCACAAGCGTTTTGGTTACATTTTTCGAAAGAGAATTGAAAAGCTTAAGTTAGGAGGAATTATTAATCCCTTGATTTTTCAAACTTAAGTGTTTGCGTAAATTGTATTAAAGGGAAACAAACAAATATAACGAGAGAAGATGCCAATAGAATTTCGGACGTCTTAGAACTAATTCATACGGATATCTATAGGCCATTCTCTTCAACTTTTTGGAATGGTCAACGATTATTTATTACGTTCATTGATGATTATTCTTGCTATGGTTACCCATATCTCATTCATGAGAAATTTCAATTACTGGACATGTTCAAGGCTTATAAGGCTGAAGTAGAAAACCAACTCGACAAAAAAATAAAACACTATAGATCTAACCGTGGTAGTGAATATTATGTCAAATATGATGGATCAAAAAAATAACGTCCAGAGCCTTTTGCTAAATTCCTAAAGGAATGTGGATTCATCCTACATTACACCATGGTTCTCCCAGTATGAATGGTGTTGCTGAAAGACAAAATAAAACACTTAAAGACATGATAAGGAACATGATTAGTCGTTCCACCTTATTGGCATCTCTATAGAGATAATCATTAAAAACTGTAGCTTGTATTCTTAATTGAGTTCCAAGTAAAGCAACTATCAAAATCCCTTATGAACTTTGGACAAGCAATAAGCCTTGCTTGAAGCATTTGCACATTTGGAATTGTCCAGCAAAGGCAAGGCCGTATAGGCATAATGAGAAAAAAAATGGATTCAAGGACTGTCAATTGTTATTTCACTTGATACACCGAGAGGTAAATTTTATGATCTCACTACAAAGTCAATTTTTGAATCGGGAAATGCTCGATTATTTCATGATGTAGAGTTTGAGGGGGAGATAAGGTTAGTGAATTTGTCTTAGAGGAGGAATATATAAATATTCCTTATGTTGCAATTGACTATGATCTGGATCAGGGACAAATTCTTGCTTTAGATTAAAACAATATTCCAAGACAATTTATAAATTATCAAGAAATTATTCCAGAAGAACAAACTCAACAACATCAAGAACAAATGTTATTAAGGAGGTCCACTAAAGAAAGGAAAACTACAATTATGGATGACTTTATAATATTTTCCAAGAACAAAAGGATGACATTGGATCGATGGAAGAATATCCAATCAACTTTCTTCATGCAATGCAAAATGATAATTCTCAAAAGTGGATTGATGCCATGAATGAGGAAATTAAATCAATGAAAGATAATTACATTTAAGAACTTGTCCCGTTGCCTGAAGGTACAAAATCCCGTCGGTTGTAAGTAGATACTTAAATCCAAAAGTGATTAGAAAGGTAACGTGGACATATATAAGGCTTATCTTGTTGCAAAGGGCTTTACTCAAAGGAAAGGCATCGATTACAAAGAGACTTTGAGGCCGTTTGAGCCAAATAATTTGTAGATTATAATGAGATGAATAGTGTTTTTTTTTAAAAATGAATGGTTGAAAATTTTTTTATTTACGTGTAATATTATTTTATTGAAGATTGTGTGGTTAAAAGTAGGAGAGAGAAAATTTTAATTTAATGTAATGAGAAATAATGGGGCTCAAACGAGGGCTTTCTATCCAGTTGTAACGAAAGACTCTTTTTAGGGTTATAATAGCACTTGTGGCACATTTTAATCTTGAGCTACATCATATGGATATAAAGACAACATTTCTCAATGGTGATGATAAGACGATATTTATGTTGTAACCGAAAAACTTTGTGTCAGAAGACTTAAAGTAAATGGTTTGCAAATTAACGAAATCTATCTATGCGCTTAAGCATGCTTCTTGTCAATGGTATCACAAATTTCATCAAGTAATCATCTCGTTTGGTTTAAGATAAATGTAGTTGATGATTGTGCATATCACACGTTTAGTAGGAGTAGACATACTGCTTATTTGCAATGACATAGGCTTATTGCACGAAATTAAGAAATTTCTATGAAAGAATTTTGAAATGAAAGATCTTGGTGATGTAATGTCACGAAATTTGTTGTTAATTGTGAAAAAATATATGTATCCAATCGTCAAGAAGAAGAAGCAGTAATCTAATCAGTACCTTATAAATGGCAATTAGGGCGTATTTGAATTTTGAAGTTGATGATTCCCTATATTTAGAGGATCATGTGCAAAGTGTTCATGAGCGTTAGGTGGCAGCTAAGAATACAGGCTATCAAATTAGTAATTAACAAGCGATTCAACATCTCTTAGATAAATTAGCACCTCGTGAATAGAGTATTCATAAGTTTTTATCAAAAGAAATGGGATTAGTAATTCCATCAGGGAATCCTCACGACATTGAATATGTATATTTTTGTAATGCTCTTATAGAGTATTGGAAAACCTACCTAGGATAAGTAATCTTACATTCCAGTTTAGATTTAGGAGTGATGATAGATGATGAGGTAACTCAACTATTAAGGATTAATAGGGCAAATCAACCAGTAAGGATCATCGAGGAAGCGGTAGAGAAAGACCTCGAAGAGGATCCGGAGGAAGATTGAGAGGGGATGCAGAAGATCTATAGATTGGTAAATAAAATAAGTAATAAGAAGAATATAAATTGGTTTTCTTTGTAATACCAATATAAACTTTCTTAAGTTAAGTTAGGGGTTTTAGGTTGTAAATGGAGTTATGCACTTTTCTTTCAAAAATTCGTTCTTAAACTGGTGGCGTGCATGTCTAAACTCAAGAGCAATGCTAGTATCTAAATCACCGTATCGAATGGTACCAAAAGAGTTAGAAGAATTAAAAGTCTAGATTCAAGAATTGGTAGATAATAGGTTTATTCGACACAATGTCTCTTCGTAGAGAGCACCAGTGTTGTTTCATAAGAAAAAGGATGGTACCATTGTCATGCCCCCAATTAACATGGATATCTATACACAACCTAGATATAGAATTTTACATATATATATATATATATAATCACCTGTGACACGATCATATAACATATCGAAACTTAAAACCATATCGCCATAATCCAACATATATATTCTAAGCTTATAAACATGTCTACAGGTCATTTCAAAAGTACACTATATGGGATTCCAAAATATAACCCAATAGATAGTAGCCTACAAAATAATCCTACAGGTCGTCATCCATGTACATCGAACTCTGGAATCCTGTAGGAGCTCCACAGCTAGCCATGCTCTCTATGTAGTTCCATATTCACCTACAATGCAAGAACTACAAAAGCCAATGCTTAGTAAGGAAAATTATGCATGTCCTGAACATGAGTAATAATGACATATGACACCATGTTATTTACTTTAAATATCACGATAAAAAGTATCATATTTCAATATTCATCAAAGTCAACTAGAAATCATTTCACTTGAAATCTTTCATTTCATTGGGCCCTTGATCCACCTACTATGCACCGGATAGAGCTCTACATAATATCAATATCAATAATCAAATGGCCAATATGAAATCAACACCGACGGGTGGACCATCCTCTCGTGACCACTAGAGGCCCATCCCCTGACTACCCCTATGATCACCCAAGAAGTCTCCCACCCGACAGCGCCAATAATTATAATATCACAAGGGCACAGTCAAGTGGTCCGTCCTTCCGTGACCACCAAAGGCCCATCCCCTAGCTACCTTTGCAATCACCCAGGAAGTAACACCCGCAATGCCAAACATATCACATACGCATGCCTCACATGCCTCGGTGCCCTAATAGTGGTCAATAAAACATTTATAATGAAACTCACTTTGAAATCATGTTTTGCATGCAGGATTTTAAACCATGTCACATGTCGTGCATACATATGAAAATGCTCACAAATGACGTATTTAATGAAAATCGATGTCAATAGGTTATGCAACCTCATACTCAATGATCGTAACCACCATATGATGTGCTATAAGCCTCTTATCGAGGTTATGTAGATATTTCAACATTACTATGTCACATATACTAGGTTATTGCATCGTAGTTGCAAATGGATTTTCACTTACCTTTCACCTTTGTGTGTGCAAGCTTCTATGGAGATTAGATCAATATCCTTTTTCACTCAAAGTTGGAGAAATCACCTGTATTACCATTTAATATTAAAGAGAATCCTCAATTTAATAATCTTAATGCACAAAACCCCAAAATACATCCATTCTCACCAAAATAATTTAGACGGAATCATCATTTCAAGTTACCGATGACATTACAAACTTATCCCATAAATCTCACTATTTCTCAAGTCAAATTATGAACGTCAACGTCATCCAATTGTTGTTGAAAACCTAGTACCCTTAGAATCTATTTTCTAGGCCCAAGAGATGATTAATGTACATGTAAAGGCTGAAATCATATTGAACACAAAATTGGACAGAACCTGTTTTCAGATTTCCCTTACCGTCCAATTATTTTTCCAATCCCTTTTCACCCCCTTGTCTATATCCAATGACTCCAAACTTTTTACCACATTTCTATAACATGTATGTGAAGGTAATAATGCTCTAAAGTCGTGACAAGTAAAGTGTTCTCAGCCTCAAAATAGTCCATTTCCACAACACTAAAATTAGACAGTTTTTGTTGTGACTGTTTTCGATTTCTATTTTATTAGCATGTCACCAATCAGATTTCAGGCTATTAGAAGGCCATTTATATCCTTATAAATATCGTGTAAAAACATTCATTTACACAGATACAAGTTATATCTTAAGTATAATAAAAAAATCAAAGTTTAAACCATCCAAATTCATCAATCAACACATGTCTATTCCTGTTGGTTTCTTTCAGGTTCTTGTACTTGATTACCCCCCTTTTGCCATCATAAAATCATCAAATACCATTCTAATTAACCTTAAGTAAGTTTAGAGTTTTAAAATATTAAAAAACACCCAAAAGGACTAAAGAAAAACTTCAAAACCGTGACTTAAACTAACCTTTAAAAACTGCAATCCTAGCTTCTTACTTTTCTATCTCTCTTTGCTTCCTTTGCTCTCCCTTTCACTTGGGGATATATTTGGAGGTTTAAATTTCTTATCCAAGAGATATATAAATAGCCTCAAGGGTTGGAGTCATGAATGATGCTTAAGGATGAAGGAAAGTGTAATTAAAAGACAAGTATCATCAAAGCATGAGCTGTCCAAGCAAGAGGTGGATTCATGCAGTAAACTTTGACCTTTCCCTTACCTTATATGGAGGCATATGTGTCTTATAAGATGTATATCTATCAAATGTAAAGTGATAATGATTTAGGAGATGTGCTGGAAGTCTTAAGGCTGAAGGAATTAAATGTTAGATTGACAAGTTTTCACAAGGTAAGTAGGAGGTGTCACCGTTGCAGCAACATTTGACTTCCTTACTATCATCTTTGGATCCATTTATGATATAAAATATATATATTCATCCTATATTCAGTTCTTAGGGAGTATGACACGAAATTTATGCCTTAACCCCAAAGGAATTGGGCATTAACATGACAACTATCCCAAGTATGAGGTGTCCAAGCATGTTGTGTCTTCATTGCAGTCATACTTGACTTTCAACCATTATATTTGGATGCATTTGTGACTTTTAAGATTTATATCCATCCTATATTAAGTGCTTAGGGAGCAGACATGAGATTGATACCTTAAGGTTGAAGGAATTGAGTGCTAAAATGATAAACATCCCAAGCGCGAGGTGTTCAAGCATGAGGTGGTCACTTGTAGCAAAAATATGATTTTATATCTATCTTTGCAGGCACAAACCAAGTATCCTTGGCTTATTTTGATGTGTTTAAAATCCAATTTACTTGTCCTAAGATCCCAAAGTATTTTATAGAGTTAATTTCTTAGCCGTTCATTTAATTTCTTACCCGATTGATTCCCGATTCTCAACCGATTTCAACAATTCGTACCTCAATATTTATAATGTCATATAAGACATATATTATTGCATTGTGATCATGCCACTTCATGCCTCACATTCCAAATGTGTTAATTACCTATCTAGGGTTTAAGATGACCTCGATCCACCAAATGGAAAGCTTGAACCTTTGTCGATAATAATTTCCGGCCTTTTCGATTTCCATTACTTGCCAAGCTAATCTTCAACATTTAGTTAACCTAATTTTCTATCATAGCTCAATGTGAAATTCACTACTTAGGTTAAGGAGTCAAAGATCACCACTATATAAAGATTTTAAAGCCTCGATGATCAAACACACATTTTTAAGAGAAAGCAATTAGGAAATTGATGCAAATGACAATGTAATTAGCATGGAATGCATGAATCATATTGGTCAAATGAAGAACGTGAAGTTCGGGGTATTACAACCATGAGAATGTACGTAGACTACCATAAACTGAATAAACTCACTATTAAGAACAAATATCCTCTACCGAGAATAAAAGATTTGTTTAACCAGTTGAGAGGAGCAAATGTGTTCTCTAAGATTGATTTAATATCAGGATATCATCAACTAAAGATTAAGTCAAGTCAAGTAATATACCAAAGTTAGCTTTTTGGACTCAGTACGACTACTACGAATTTATTGTGATGCCTTTTGGTTTAACCAATGCTCCTATGATGTTTATGGATTTGATGAATAGGGTGTTTCATAAATTTTTAGATCGATTTTTCATGGTCTTTATTGAAGATATTTTGATATACTTGCAAAACGAAAATCAACATAAAGAACATATTAGAATGATGTTAGAAACTCTAAGAAAGGAAAAGTTATATGCCAAGTTCAAGAAGTGTGAACGATTGAATCGGGTTTTGTCATCACATATTTATTAGTCATGGGATTGAAGTTGACCCAACTAAAGTAAAGGTAGTAACTAGGTAGAACAGACCAATTAATGCTGGGGTAGTTTAAAGTTTTCTAGGTTTTGCTAGCTACTATCTAAGATTCATTGAAGGCTTCTTTAAAATAGCTAGACTAATTATTCAATTAACTTGAAAGGGGTAGATTTCATTGGTTGGATAAGTGTGAATAGAGTTTTCAAGAGTTGAAACGTTGATTAGTCGCGGCACCAATGTTAACAAGTAAGGAAGAATCGAAAGGTTTTATGATCTACAACAATGCATCCTTAGCAAGGCTGAGGGTGTGTCCTAATGCAACACGGGAATGTGGTTTCTTATTCTTCAAGGCAATTAAAATAACATGAGCAAAATTGCCCCATACATGACATTAAACTTGAAGTAGTGGTTCATGCATTGAAGTTATGGCAGTACTATCTGTATTGAAGCAACTTTGAGATCACAAGAGTTTCAAATATTTCTTCACCCAAAAAGAATTGAATATAAGATAAAGGAGATGATTGGAGCTAGTAAAAGACTATGACTTTATTGTACTTTGCCATCCTGGTAAAGCTAATGTGGTTGCAGATGCCTTAAGTAGGAAATCAGGAGGTCAGTTGGCATTTTTGTTGTCAGATGAAGATTGAGCTGGTTAAAGAGTTCGAGAAGATGAAATTTGAGCTGTTGTTTCTGTGAATCAAATTACAGTTCAAATGGCGACTTTGATGATTTGATCAAATCTCAAAGATTGAATTATTGAAGCTCCAGAGAGTGATCCATTTCTCCAAAAAATTAGAAGTGAGGTTAGATCAGATAAGATGAATGCTTTTGAGATGTCATTAGATAAGGCATTAAAGTTCAAAGGAAGGCTTTGTATAACTAAGGATGTGGAACCAAGAAAGGAAATTCTAGAAGAAGCTCACTCCACCATATACACCTGCTTATCCCAATAGTACAAAGATGTATCAAGACCTTTGAGATATATTTCGGTGGAGGAACATGAAATGAAGTATTGGAGTTTTCATCAGTAAATGCATGATTTTTCAACAAGTGAAAGTGGTGCATCAAAGACCTTTAGGTTTATTAAATCCACTGGAAATACCAAAATGAAAATGGGAACATATTTCAATGGATTTTGTTGTCGATTCTTAGAAGTCGATGAAAGGAAATAATGTCATTTGGGTAATCGTTGATCGATTGACAAAGACATCTCACTTTCTAATAGTAAAAATGATGTTTAGTGTGGATGAATTGGCACAACAAGACATAAAGAAATAGTCAGATTGCATGGAGTCCTAGTATCCATTGTTTCAGATAAAGACCCGATGTTTACCTCCAAATTCTAAAAATGCTTACATGAAGCAATGGGAACGAAATTGAATTTTATAACAATTTACAACCCTTAATTAGATGGTCAATCCGAAAGAACTATTTAGATATTAGAAGATATGTTGCTTGCTTGTGTATTAGACCTACAAGGAAGTTGGGAGTCATACTTGCCTTTAGTAGAATTTGCCTATAACTATAATTTTCTATCTACCATTCATACGAAGCACTCTATGGTAGAAAATGTAGATCACTGATTCATTGGGCTGAAGTTGGTGAAAAGAGAATTCAGGTCCAGAAATCGAGCAAACAGTTCTGGCAGTCGATAAGATCAGAACTGCATAAAAGTAATTTAAGATTGATAAAAGAGTTATGCAGACAATCGAAGAAAAGATCTGAATTTTGAAGTTGGATGAAAAGATATTCATAAAAGTGGCACCTATAAAAAGGTTCGGTAAGAAAGACAAGTTGAGAACGCATTAAATAAGACCTTTCCAAATTCTTGAAAATGTTGGTAACGAAGCGTATCGATTAGCTCTACCACCCGAACTTTATATCGTGCATGATGTGTTTCATGTGTCTATCATAAGAAATATGTATACGATCCAAGTCATGCAGCGAATTATCAAATATTAGATGCTCAAAAAGACTTATCTTACAAAGAACTTCTAATTGCTATTTTAGATGGAAAAAAAGGGTACAAAAATTAAGGACTAAGGAAATTTCATTAGTCAAGGTTCAGTGGCGACATTACGAGATAGAGGAAGTCACTTGGGAAATAGAAGTAGAAATTAAAGCCAAGTATCCGACATTGTTCGCTTAATTTAAGGTAATTTTTAAGACAATTTTTTTTTTTAAGGTGTACGAGATGTGAGGTCCTGAATTTTATGTTCCTAAGTTGGTTGAGATGTAGCACATTTAAGAAACGAGATATGAAGCTTGGCCCATTTAAAATTATGAAAGCCCAAACCATAAGTTATTTACAGGCCCAACAAATTTAAGACATTAGTTTTAAGTAAATTTGATTACAAAAATTTAACAAACAATTGGGTTGCTACAGTGGTCATGTGCATAGTATTTCACATAGGCAACTAGATTCGAATCAACATGCAAATATTTTTGTAAAATTATTTTTGAGTTAAAAACTCCTCATTTTGAACATTAAAACAATTATATCAAGTTAATTTGATGGAATAATTGTTTTATTAGTGGGCATTCATAGAGTTAGGTTACAAATCATATGAATAGTTTATTTTACTCTATTTTCATTATGTAAATATTTTATAACACTTTTTATAAGAATTTATTTTTTATGAGCTTAAAACTCTTTAAATTCCTAGTAAAGACTCAATTTAACAAGATTAATGATAATATAACTCTCCCATTTAATTTTCCACTAAAAATGGAGGTTACAAGAAGGGGAACTTCACATTTTCATTACACTTCTTCTAGAATCCGAATTTACTCTTATTTTCTCTTAACAATATTTTTTTATATTAGGTAAAACTTAATGGGAATAACAAGGGTGTGAAGAAGAAAGACTTTTACACTTTTTGTTTCTATATATTTCAAGAAAATCAAGGTAAATGGTGCTACGAATTTTGAACATAATGATGCTAATAATGACTATATGTTTTTATTGCTCTATGTGGATGATATGCTTTTAGTTGGTTCATCATCTATGTGGATAAGCAAAATAAAAAAAAAAAGTTGAATGGCAATTTTGACACGAAAAATCTAGATAAATCTAAGAGAATCCCGGGTATGGAAATTAAAAGAGATAGGTCAAATTCTACCTTATTTTTGCATCAATCTCCTTATATTTCAAAGCTGTTGAAAAGATTTGGCATGCATGATTGCAAACCTATTCATGACATTTAACTAATTATTTTGTGTTATATAAAG